CATCTTCCTCCCCTTTCCCCATCCTCCCCTTTCTCTTCTGGCCCCTCTTTTCAGGGAATCTTGCTGCACCCACACCTGCGTCTCCCCTCCCTACCCCTGGCCCTGTCATGGCGGGCAGCCGCCCCTGCCTCACCAGCTCTCTCCTTGCTTTTCTCTTTCCTCTTTCTCTGGATTTATCTGCAACTTCCACTCAATCCAGCCAGGCAAGTCTGCACTTTCCTGAGAGCCACAGGACCCCCTTCGCCCTCTAAGCAGATCCTGCCTCTTCTTCGGAGACCTCCCTTTCCAAGCCTGCCTGGATGACTGTTCTGTGACTTGACATTGGTTCCCTTAGACCCGAAGCCACCCCCTCCATCTGTGACTTAGGCTGTGCTAGTGGCGAGCTCACACACCCAGATGTGATGTTGGTGAAGGCTCGTGCCCCTCTGGGAATTGCCCCTGCCATCTTCTATATCTAAAAATACAACACACACACACACACACACACACACACACACACACACACACACGTGGCCGAAAAACTGTGTCTAGTGCTGAGATCGATCACTGTGCTTTCCTTGTGTAATCTTGTGGCCCAGCTACAAGAGCAAGCTGTTCCCCTGACATCCTCCCTTCAAATTGTGCCACCTCCAGTGAGCCTCCCTGTCATGTCTGGCCTGTGTACTGCCAGACCCCTGACTTCTCTCCTACCCTCACCCTCGAAGCACGGGTGTGCTGCATAGGCAGCTGTGTGGGCTGATGCTACTGGTCTTGCTGTCTCATGGCTGAGAATAAAACCCACTTCTGGATGACAGGAAGCGTGTGTCTCTTGGTTGTGTTCTTGTGGAATCGGCAGTGGGGGGAGGGTGGGGAGAGGCCTTGCCCTTGCTAGGGCGACGTCCGGAGTGGTGGGAAGGCCAAATTACTCTTGGACATTCCTTGGGCTGTGAAACTCATGTTCATCCTGTGAAACTTGCTCAGGCCCCTAGAGAGAGACTTGAGTTCAGCCATGGGGGTGGATGCTGGCTGGATCCAACACTCAGGAGAGACAGACAGATGAAGGGGAGAGGGAGATGGAGCAGAAGACATGTGGGTTGGGAGTGGGCACTCTTGGATACTGGTACCCTGCATTCCCTCTCATGGAGGCCGTCAAGGTGGGACGAGCCACACAGTACAGCCCTCTGGCAGGTCCCTTGGAATCCCCCAGGCAACAAAAAGCAGTAGACAAGTGACAGGTCTGGAAGGCCCCTAACTGCCCTGTTGGACATGCTTCAACACTCTGGGGCTCTGAGCAATCTAGAAGCCTGCCTTCTGCTGGCACCAGTTTCTCCATTCATGGGTGAGACTCAGGACACTGCTGAAAATGGGCACAAGGCTGGGCAGTAGGGATAAATCCATTTATTTTATTTCAAAATAAAAGCAAAATAAACTGGAGCCATGTCTCATCGAGTTTAGCTGGGAAGCTATTTGGCCCGTGGCTTTTTGGGTGGGGATATTTCTTTGACTGAGCCCATTTCCTGGATTGTCATTGGTCTCCTTAGAGTTTTAATTTCTTTTTGTTTCAACCTCAGGAGGTGGTGTGTTATAAGAAAGTCCTCTATTTCCTCTAGGTTTCCTAGTCTATTTGCATATAGGTATTCATAATAATCTGTGATAACCGTTTGCATTTCTTCACGGTCAATTATGACTTCAACTTTTGTGGTACTGCATGTGTTTACTTGGTCTCTCTCTCTCTCTCTCTCTCTCTCTCTCTCAGCCAATCTGGCTAGCGATCTGTTAACCTAACTTATCCTTTCAAAGAATCAGTTTTTTGGGTATGAAAAACAACCAGTCTAAATCTGCCAATTCCAC